TGTAATGCTAAATAAATAGGAAGTCAACTTACTACCAAAGTCTCTCTTTCACCTATTATTGCCGACAATTTCCTGTAAATGCCGTCCAAATGCTCATCTGTAAACACACGCCGCCGCCATTGCTGCTGCCGCTGCACACACAGGGGCATGTAACGTACTCCGTGGCTCATAAATATGCTCTCTAATAACATGCAAGCTTTCAAATTAACCCGGAGTAGATTCGCTAACACCCAAGGTGGACTGGCTATATTCTATGTTGTATATATAATGGGAAGGGTGGCATGAAAGTCCGACGTCGGGCTATACCACACTTTTCAAACGACCCAGTACAACCACAAAAACTTCGTTAATCCCTTTATTCTTGGGCGCATCCAACACATAACATGATAAACTTTATCTCAAAATCGAATTCGCACCAGTCATTTACTGTTTGTCTTTGAACCAGCTGCCGAAAGTTCATCCACAAACCGCCACAATCAAAAATTCCAAAACCCTGTCTCAACCATCGACGCCATATTGACGCACACTACCGATTAGATTAGGGGTCGGATTTCAGAATTACGGCTCTGCAAAACGTCAACACGGCGCCCTTTCGCCGATAAACTTCTATTCCACACTTTCAAACACCATTTGTCAACTTACCAAGTCTGTTAATGTCATATAACGTCAATCATATACCGAAATACATGCACTTTCTTGCGGGTGCAGCCATTTTTGAGATTTCTGACGTCATAATTCGCATACCGCACAAACTGCGGATGTAACGCTCATTGGTTGCTACCAGGGGAGGTAACTCACCAATTAGCTACGGGTATTATGTCAACAAACAGACACGCGGCAAACCAAGCATTGAACCATCACGGTATGATGGTATCACAAAAAAGCATGCTGTTCAGTGAGGAACAGCAGCTGTGCATTGACATAGCCAGCAAAGGCCATAACCTGGCCATTTTAGGACAGGCGGGCACAGGCAAGACGGTTGTGTGTAAACAAATACAGGGTTTACTGCGATCGCGTGGTAAACATGTGAGTGCGACTTGCACCACTGGCATAGCGTGTCAGAACTTTCAGGGAGCTATGACACTTCACCGTTGGTGTGGCGTGTTGGACGGGAGGTTTTCTATGACTGAACTGCTTGATCTGTCAAAAAATGATCGGTTCGCGGATACGTCCAAACGGATCCGAGAAACGGATGTTTTATTTATAGACGAGATATCGATGCTAAGTGCAAATATGCTGAGCCAGGTGGAATTCATATGTAGAACTGTACGAGACAGTGGACGCTACTTCGGCGGACTGCAGGTGATCGCCAGTGGCGACTTTTACCAGCTGCCTCCGGTTCCAAATGTCCTGAACCAAGACCAGGGTTCTTTCGCCTTCCAAGGTCCAGTCTGGAAGGAAGTGTTTCCACATAAGGTGAAAAGTTTATACTATTTTTGTCAATTACAGTACAATACCCCCCCCCTACACACACATGCCCCCTCCCCCCACACACACACATGTAAAGTAAGCTACAATGTATATACCCCTTCCCCAGATGCAATGCTCTCAGTAGCTAAATCTAACAATACAAACTACTACCCCCCCCCACGCACACATAAAGCCAATATCAAGCTACACTCCCCCCCCCCCCCCCCCGATTAAAATCATCTGTGTTCCCCACATAAGGTGAAAAGTTATATACAAATTTTGTCATTTACATTACATCCCCCCCCCTCCTCACACACACATTCATCTGAAGGGGCTCTAATTTCAAAACATTTTGGGGAGCAGCCCCCCGACCCCCCCCCCCCCCTTCGCGTGTCCTGTTACACGCCCCTGGTTTCGCCCCCCTAAGGACATACCCTGGCGCGACCCCCCCCCCCCATGGCCACACATACATGTAAACTAATATAACAACCCCCCACACGTCATAGACAAGCCAAGCTATACCCCCCCCCCCACACTGATACAATACTCTGAGTAGCTCTAAAACTAATAACACAATACTACTAGTAACTACTTCCTCCCACACCCACACATGCCCCTACACACAAACACTCAAGCTATAACCCATTCTTTCTTACACTTAATGTCAAATTATAAATGCCAACTGATGTTGAAGCCATATAATTTCATCTTCAAAGCATTCATGTAAAACTCACTCAGACTTGTTACCATATTTATGCTAGTTGCAAAACACTAATTTATATTATGTACATCCATATAATACATGCATTTGTGATATTGAATAATATTATTTGTATCTTATCTATTTTGAATATGCATACATGCCCCTGTGAATAAATTATTAAACAGTAAGATATGACTTATTGGTAATGCAAAACTTAGATTGGAATTATTTTCTAAGTACTATAAGTAATAAACTTAAATGCTGTATTAAATATACGTATTTGTTCTTCCTTAATATGTAGGTTATTCTTATGGAAGTTGTCCGGCAAAGTGAGCCTTTCCTTATCCAGACAATACAGCAGGCTGCTGCAGGGCACCTGACAGATGAAAGTGTCGCCATCATCAAAAGTCTGGCCAGGCCTCTGCCAACACCAACAGCTGCTGAAAAGTCTGTCAAACTGTTTTCTCTTAACCATCAGGTATTAAAATACAACAATACATATATGCATGAATATTTGCTTTAACATTGATTTGTTTGGATCTTGTCCGGATAAGTACTCAGAAAGTTCTGGACCAATTTTAACGGCGCTTTGCATACAGGTAACATGCATGGGAGGTATTATTAGTTCACAGCGTGAACAGTTCTAGTTAGATACTGGAATGGATATATATAATATTGTTTCACTAACAATTTCTTTAAATACTGCTTTGTATTTCAATAAATGTTTTCTTTTACTTAATTAGGTGGACAAATACAACAGAGATTGCCTGCAGGAACTGCCAGGGGAGCTGAAGGTGTATGACAGTGAGGACAATGGGGAGGAAAAGCATTTAAAGACACTAAAGGCGCCAAAGACATTGTGCCTGAAAGCCAAGTGCCCTGTGATGTTGGTCAGAAATTTTTCAGATGAACTGGTGAATGGGAGCAGGGGAATTGTGGAAAAGTTTGAGGACAGTGCAGTGACAGTGAAATTTGAAAATCCCAGTATGACCGTCCGATTGACGAGAACGAAATTTTCAGGTACACTGCGCAATCACAGACACACTTGATCTGATTGGAAAGCACGAACACTCAAATAGTTTATACTATACGTGTAATATTAGCAGACGCACTCTCGATACAGGCGTCATATGTCGGTACATGCTCAAATTAATGTAAATTATTGAAAATCAGTATTTATTTTTGTATGAACATGTTTTGAAAGTTACATCTATACTCGCTTTAAGTATTCTTTGTTTCCCTTTTCCCCTAATCATCTATTAGTCATGTTGTCCAACAAAATTCATATCTGAACATAAAATAAATATTTTTCTTGTACATCCCAATAAATTGTTTGGATACGGGTCATTTTAATGCTGTGGTCAAGGGGTACCAAACAATGCTTTATTTTTGGCTTTGCAGTACAGTTCACTGGAAGTCGCCACGCCATATATTTCTCCATGTCTAGCAAAATAGAATAAACTAGCATTTGCCACAGATATGTCCGTGCCTCAAAGAAATACCTGTTTATTGCAGAAATGTCCACCAGCAAAAATAAAAAAAGTAGATTTTGACTGTATATTCGAGGATGACAATCGTTATGGTTAGACCGTTCCCTGAAATCTAGACCACTTTTATAGTTAACATCTTTTGCAGGTTTAAATATACTTATTGAATACCAAAATAGTTCGGAGTTAACAAAAGCCACCTTGCTTTTTTTAGTGTATGACCCTGTGCAGAAGGTGGACATAGCCTCCAGACTCCAGCTGCCTTTAGTTCCGTGCTACGCCATAACAATCCATAAAGCCCAGGGAATGACACTTGACAGGTAAAATACCACTATTGTGAATACTTGCTTTAAATTTATTATAGTGACCTATATCCTGTCTGTAGCTCATTATGCTCCCCCCACCCAAACAAAGTTAGGGTTAAACACATTTCTAGGTGTTTTTACAACCCCCCTCCAGTGAACAGTTCTAGTTGCTTGTGTTATACATTTGGATGCATACTTGAGACCCAACAAATTCTAATTTCAGAGTCGAGATCGACTGTCGAGGTATTTTCAAGTCTGGACAGCTTGGTGTTGCCCTGGGACGTGTGAAATCATCTGAGGGTCTCCGTGTTGTAAATTTTGCAAGGAGACATGTACCACCACAACCTGCCTGTCTAGATGAGTTTTATGCAGTGGAGTCGCAGAATTTTGTGGAGAACCGAACATGCTGCAGAGACAAAGAGTAAGATTTTTTATATTTAATATTCTTGTGCATTCTACAAACAAGTCACGTGTGCAATGAAATCTATCTATGTGAACTGCTAAAAAGTATTTCACATTTCAATTTAATCTGTCAAGGTCTAACATAAATTTCAGATTCTACACTACCATTTTATTATTTTAGGCTTTCATTTTCACTCTCAGCACATCGTTTGAAAGAGTTGAAGGTATTCATGCACATATATGATATGCGTACCATATAGTGTGTTACATGTGGCACTTTGCCAGCTATTTTGCAATGAACGTCACGAACAGATATAAACACAGTTGTTTCATATGCCACGACTCAATTACAGGCGAATTTGCTTTGACGTAGTATCTAGTCGTACAGAGTCTTCACTCTTTCTTTTCCCTGTCCTCGGTCGTCGAAAAGGCATTGCAGGTTTTTTTCGTTCGGAAAGACAGTTGCTCTTTTTCGAAACGATGGTTTGTCCTAATACAATGCTGTTCATACTTTTTCTGTAATTTGCGTAGTTAGGATTAGTGTTACTTCCATTGTGGAGACCGCGCTGCTGGCAGAAGATGTTTTCCACAGGATCACTGTTTATGTGACCTGGGACGATGCTTGAGGTTGAGTGATCTGCAAGGTGTTCTTGGCACATCTCTTCAAAGCCCACAATGCATGATAATAAGTCTTCCCTTGTCTGGTAAGACATAAGCTGGTTTGATTTTTCAACTCTGGTCTTTCCTTCTACTGCATGCTCCCAGTGTTGGAACCATTCCAAGACCTGTCTGTTTTGCTTTAATCTTTCGTCGGTGGCCACTGTGATAGGTCTGGTATCCTGAAAGTTGGCTATCAAGATGCTTGTTTGTGTCAAGAACTCAATAGCACCATTAAGCTTGTCCCCAGCCTTTCCTAAGTGGATCTGGTACTCGGACATGAGTCGCAGCATATCGGAGTCGAGGGCTTGCTCTGCCAGGTGATTCCTCATTTTCTCTGGACCATTGGGGTTGATATGTTGGTAGGTCAACTTTCTGTGAATTTGAATAGGGTTAGTTTGATCCCATTTGAAGGATTCTTCCCACCATTGCCAGACAATTACAAAATTGGTTGGCAAGGTGAGAGTTCTTTTCTTGGACTTTAACACATTGTTCCTAATCTTCTTCATGCAATGTGAATAGTCCATTAGGAAATGCACATTTCTGTCAGGGTTTACTGGACTCTTTGTCTTCATTGTGCTGAGGGTAGGAGTGTTGCCCAGATTCATCTTGAGAAATGACCGGTTAGATTGTGCCCCATCCATACTGATATACTTGACAATGAAGCCGAACATAGTAAGCTGTGAAATTGCTTCCCAGACCATCACATAGATTTCTGATGCATTTGCCTCTGTCACTGGAAAGTGGGCAATGGGGAAGCGAAAGCCACCAAAGCCTAAGAAAACAATTTGGAAGACATGACTTGCCAAGCTTTGCTGCTTTTTACCACTTCGGATAATTTTCATGCATTCGGATTCCTCCACCATGTCAACAAAGCCGACAAACTCTATTCCAGACCCTTTGGTTTCCATAACGAGATCTGTCTGAATAGACATTTCATCTATTAATAGTCCACCCATTCTTCCATCTGAGGGAATACGAAGCCTCTCTGCTTCTTGTAACATCCACTGACAAATTTGATCCTTAAATCCTGGGTCTTGCGGCACACAGTTTTTGTATGTTCGAAGAATTCTCTCTGATGGCAGTATGACAAGTCCACTAGATTTCAGGTCCCGATAAGTCTGAGGACTCCTTGTCCAAATTGTCAAGCAAGTACTCATTACTGACTTTGGCCACCGATTTCCTCGATGATCAGTTTGATTCGAATTTGATACTTGAGACAAGATTAAGTCAATCATCCCTTCTGTTGCATTGGGAATAATTTTCTTAAGGTCTTCTCTTTCAAGTTTAGGGTCATTTTTTACCTCTGCTTCATGTGCATGCTTCTGCTTCATACTTTTCAATACATTGTTGCATTTGTCACACAATGAGACTAAGGGGCTTACAATTCGGAGACATTTATCCGACTGTATATGCCTCTGTTTCGAACTTTCAGGGCCTTTGACTACATAATGAACAGTGTTTTTTCCAGCAAGAGTTAATTTCCCTTGGTTCACTGGCGCACCGAGACAAACTTTTAGGTTGTCAACAATTATGAACACATTTCGCACGCCCAGTTCGTCACATATGTAATTTGTGTCAACAAATAAATGCTCGCTTATTTGCACTTCTTCAGTTCCTATACATAGACTCCATATTTTGTCTTTGAAGATTAGTGTTTTACATATTGGATTTCGATCGCAAATAAGTTCAGTAGGACAAGAAATGTGTACTTCTCTTGGGTTGTCCTTGGTTACTCTGTACTCACTGGATGGGATACAGTTTTTGATCATGTTTGTGTCGAATACTGACTCCACATTACTTTGTTGAGTTTGATTCCACGCCAACCCCTTGTACGTTCGCACTTGTGCATTGTTCTCACTCAACCGTTGCCTCTCGACTGTCACATCGGAAAATAACTTGGCTACAAGTTTACAAAAAACTTGCATGTTAGCAGCTTCTTTTCCTGACAACTCACATTCTAGCTGATACTGGCTATGAACGTCATTTCGAATTATGCAGGATCTCTCTTGTCTTGTTAGCCTGTTCAGAATCCTGCGAATAAATACATTGTGTCAGTAACTTCTAATAGTACACCAATATACAACATATTAAAATCGTCTGATTAAGGTGGGTGGATATATAGGTGAACGCCAAATTTTCCGGGTTAATGACAACACCAGGATCGTGCACACGTGTAGAACAGACCAACCAAACTCGGAAGAAATAAATAAATATGGGGATCACTGTGCTTGTTTTTGAAATAATCCTCTTCCAAATGTCATAGTTTGTCATAAATGAAATTTTTTTTTACTCAAATTGTCTCAAAATAGCTTCTTAGAGCCTTGTACAAGTGTGCACTTCCTGTGTACGCTAGAATTCAGGGAGGTAACTTACCTACACATTCTCCTTAATTAGCTTCAGTAATATATATAATATATCTGTTATCCATCTTTGGGAATCACTTTACATTGTATACTTGTATAGTAAGAACTGGATAAAACTCTAGTGCGTTAAATAATAAAGACGATGACTTAGTCATACTTTATATTTTATGTTTACAGATGCAACAAAGAAGATGGTGACAGTGGTGCGGCTAACACACCAGTGTGCGATCAGTTAGAGGACGACATTCCATCAGATGAAGATGATGAGATCCAGGCGTCGATGGACGATGCATTCTTAGCTGCGTGGGACATTCCTGACGTTCCTGATCAGTATTTGGTGTACAGCACGGACAAAGCTGTAACCCTCCTGACTGAAGTTATACAAAATGTAGAGCTGATGGAAATCCAGAAAAAAGTAAACGTCCAGATTAGAACTCTGTTAGAAGACCATCATCCTCGTGTAGATGATTTTTGCAAGCGGGTTGAACGATGTGTTGCAGAGTTCTATACAAATAGCATGACAGACACCAAAAACGCCAATAGTAGTGAATTTTATTCGCAATGTCATGTCTATATGACCAGCAAGTCATATCAGTCTGCTATGTTACAGCTGTTTCCAACTGGTCCTTTGACAGAAGACAAGACTTATATTGCTTTCAAACTCACGACAGACATTAGGACACATTTGCTGAAGGCGAAAAGCTTTGAGACCCTTGCCAGGAAGACCGTTGACAGTGGATCAAATCCTAGATTCAAAGAAGACTTCCAGACTTGTGCTGAAGGGGCAACAGCCAAACTAAGATATGTAGCGGGCTATGCATTTGCCAAATTGCGGTGGCAGAACACAACGCTGTTGAAAGCCAACTTGCACAAATCTTCCGATTCTGCGGACCAGACAGTGAAGCGAACAACAGTTAAACTGGAACTGTTAGACAGTGCTATTAGAACGCAATTACAAATGGAGGCAGAAACCGGCGACTTAAAAAGCCTGAAAGAAATCCAGGAAAAGCAGAATGTGCGACAAAGTCTGACTCATGTCTCTGATGCTGCGTATGAGTTTACAGAAACACTGTGTAAGGAAATACTGGAATTGCAAACAGTATCAAAGTTACATATATATGGCAAAAAGATCCATGACCACACAGTGGAGACGCTGAACCAAAACAGCGAACTTTTTAGTTTGTGGGTAACAATCTTTGTCAATGAAACCACAGATTCTCTGGGGCCAAAATCAGGCCTTATTCCTGACATCGTAAATGACTTGTGTTTCCGTGTCGATATAACTGTGGAACTATTCCATGATTTCATTGAGAAGTTTACAAGAGTCCTCACCAATCAGTTTAGGAAAGACATTCTATTGACATGGGATGTACAGAAGAAGGCGGCGCATCGCAAGGAGGTCCTTGAAAAGAAAAAGAAAAAAGAATCTGTTGCTGCCATGGCTGACATCAAGGTGATGAAGCAGGGTAAAAGTTCGGAGCAGCAGTACTCACACCATCTGCTTAAAGCAAATGTCATCAAGGATCCTGACACGCTGAAGTCATATAAGAAAGATGACTTGAAATATCTGTGCAACAGATATCATGTACGTGTGAATCACAAAGACAACAAGTCGGACATGATTTTAAAACTTTCAGCCGAGATCCTCAAATCCGATGCTGCTGCTGAAGAATTTGTTGCCCAGACTACGGGTTCAAAGAGACAGAGGATGAGCACTGACGAATCCAGAGCTGGCACATCACACGAACCGATGGCTGTTGATGAACCTGGCCCCTCTATAGAGACAACAGACCCTGATGATAGCGACACATTATGTCCAGTGTGCAATGGAGACTATTCTGATGGAGGACAGAGTATAGCATGTGATGTTTGTGAGGCTTGGTTGCACAGAAAATGTGCAGGCCTTGCCAATGCCAAGAAATGGAAGAAGTGCAGCAATAGTTTTTGGAAATGTCCACATTGTGCTGAGTAAAGTATTAAAGTGTTTATGGACCCCATGTAGGGCCAAAGTGTTGTGGACCCCCATGTAGGGCCAAAGTGTTGGTGGACCCCATGTATGGCCAAAGTGTTGGTGGACCCCAATGTCATTCTGCTCATTCATGATGGCCTTGAAGTTCGGCTGCAGATGCGTCGACGCGATCCTGAGAGAAGCCAGCAAGTGGGCGTCCGTGAGAGCAGTGCGCTTGTTTGACTTGGTATTCTTCATCTTTGAGAAGAACTGCTCTGCACAATAAGTGGAGCCAAAGAGAGAAACGAACTTCTGAGCATTCTGGGTCAGGTTGGGGAAGGTGGCGCGGGGCAGGCTCTTGTAGAAGTCGACCAGTTCCTTGCCAAGAAACTGTCCCTTGAGCTCGAGGCTGGCCTGCAGGTCGCACAACTCCAACTGCAGCTCAATCGGCGCCTGAGACACGTCGAAGTTGAACGGCACACTGAAGAGCTCGAAGTCGGTGTTCCTCGCGCGGAACTCCTTGAACCTCGTGTCAAACTCCTTCTGCAGTTTGCAAATCTCGGCCGCGTAGCGCAAGCTACTGAACTCGCCGCCATCGTGCTCCTTCTGGCTCTTGAGGGAGGGGAAGTGGGCCAGATTTCCTCTTTCGAGCTGAACTTGCCACAGCTGCAGCTTGGTCTGGAAGGCCTTGATGTGGGCAAACAGCTCGTGGACCAGCTTGTTGCGGCCTTGCATAGCCACGTTGAGGGTGTTCAGCTTCTCGGTGATGTCAACGAGGAAGGCGAGGTCACAAAGCCACTTTTGGTCATCCAGCTCGAGTGCCGGGATGCCCTTCATGGCGAAGAACATGGACAGCTCCTCCCTGAGGACCCAGAAGCGCTGCAGCGTTTGTCCCTTGCTCAGCCAGCGCACACCGGAAAAGTAGATGACATCGCCGTAGCTGGCATCCAACTCCAGCAAGAACTGCCTGAACTGCCTGTGGTTCATGGCATGGGAGCGGATGTGATTGACATGGCCGACAACCTTACTCATCACTTCCTTGAAGCTGACATCGAAGATCTTGGCGCAGAGGGCCTCCTGGTGGATGATGCAGTGGCACCACACCAAGTGCTCGTGCGACAGACCCTGGCGGTTCAACTCCGCCATCACATGGCCCTGGAGACCGCGACCCGTGCCCAACATGGACGGTGCGCCGTCCGTGGCAATGCCGATGAGACGATTGAAGTCCAGTTTGGCATCGTTCATGGCAGCTTTCAGCTCGTTGAAGATGTCTTCGCCCGTGGTGGTGCTCTTCATGGAGCGGACAGTCAGCAGCTCCTCCGTCACGTTGAAGTTGGTGTCGATGCCGCGCACGAAGATGGCCAGCTGGGCCGTGTCCTTGACGTCCGTGGACTCGTCGAGGGCCAAGGCGAAGTAAGAGAACTTTGTTGCCAGGGAGTGGAGCTGCTCGGTCAGGTTCTTGGACAAACTGTCGATCCTTCTTGTCACTGTGTCATTGCTCAGACTGATCTTGTTGATGACGGCGACCTTCTCAGGGCACATGACGTCGAGGGCAGCCAGCATGCACTCCTTGACAAACTCTCCATCTGAGAAGGGCTTCATGCGCCTCGCAATGATCGCGGCCACCTTGAAGCTGGCCTCCGTGGCAGCCTTGCTGGTGTTGCCCTGCCTGACGAAAAGGTTCTGTTGGCGGCCGAACTTGTTCATCAGCTCCTTGGCCTTGTCCTCGCGCTGCGGTCCCGCCAGACCATTGTAGTCCTTGCCGTGCTTGGCTTCGTAGTGCCTCTTGATACAGTCTCTTTTGGGCCAGGACACCTTCTCATTGCAGATCAAGCAGATAATGTTGCCTCTGTCTTCCACGAAGAAAAATTCGTTGGTCCAGCACTCCTTGAATCCGCGGTTCTCCTCGGCGATCTTTCTCTTCCTGGTGGGGTCAGCCATACTGTTTGGGGGTGGAGTGAAGCCTCGTGTGAGCTAACTATCGTCGGATCTATATATAATATTATATATATATAAATGACAAACAAGGTACAATATGTACTCACAGTATATAAATGACAAACAAGGTACAATATGTACTCACAGTGTGTGCAGCAGGGAATCATGCAGGGAAGCTATACAGTATGTATACACAGTATGTCACCGGATATGTTGGCAAAACTCAAGGCAGCTATGGTGCATGTATTATTAACGGGGGTGTTCCCGCTTGTGCTCCCAATTGTGCGCACATTGGCGCATCAGGGCGAGTTTACCCACCACCCCCGTTAATAATACATGCACCCTATGATGCATCATAGCTGCCTTGCGTTTTGCCAACATATCCGGTGACATTACGCGTGCGCACGCCACATGATTTGAAATGTAAATTCAATGAGTGCTGACTTTGAGGAATAACAGTATAAATACCTGGTGTAAAGTTGTGGAATTGTTCAAAAAGATAGGTGAGATGTCCATGTTGATATATAAGTGTTAAAAAGCCCGATCATTTTACGTTTTGGGGATAAATTTTTGGTCACATCAGCCGGACCATTTGCTTAGATTATTCTATGGGATCATGTGCTATAGCCCTGCGGCAGCGATCCGCGGGCTATAGTACTAGAGCTACTGGCAACCCTATGTGAGAATGTGTTACGTCATCTTAGTGCGGCCAGCTAGCTGTGCCGCACTCAGACGCTCACTGTGCCGCATGCGGCACGCGTGCGGCAGGTTGAGAAGCACTGGCATAGACATATATATCTTTCGGATTCTACATATCCATCGATATTGCATCCATGCATATATCATACCACTGTGTTGTAGTGCATAGAACTGTAAGGTTGTTCGATGTGACGAGTCAAAAGCAGCAAAGATTACTTTCCATCGAACGTCTACCACGCCAACGTGGCGAACCGTCTACCACTCCAGTAGTCAGTAGTACGGACGTCGGTGTTGTTTACTGTTACTCACTACACAACAAATTGTGTTTACACAGGTCTTCTAACCGCTTGCAAATACCGTGTTTGCTTGCAGCTAGTAGTAGTACTAGCTCTAGTACATAGTACTATATAGTATTAGTAGTAGTACTAGTAGTCTCTAGTGTATGTGTCATCTCGCTTCTTCTGCACAGATAGGCCTGCAAGCATTTCACGACTTATACTGTGTAGACGCAATTGCTTTTAGTTTGGTTAGTAACATATAGAGTCGTCAACTGTATGCGATGCTTTTTCTATATGTAAAACTAGCATCCCAGTGAAATACCGTTCACCTGCTTCATTGGCAATGTCATCCGTTAACTGAATGAAGGCTGTATGTGTAGAATGACGTCATGGACCGTATAATCAATCGCTCAATTCAGCAGTTGCGGCGTTTCCACAAGCCTTTTCACTACGCACGTAGGTAGACATTTCATAGAAATGGTAGTAATTGTTTGTTTGCTGGTCGGCGCGCTTGGTTTCCCTCTAGAAAAGCGAGTTACCATTTTTGGTGTTTCATGCCCTGACATTATTTTCGAACATATCGCCTTTCGTCATTATTACGTCGTCATTGTTTGTATATAGGTGAACATTTCTATTTACACGAATAGAGGCATATTATTTCCGCATGCATTATTATAAAACCCAGCTCATGTATTCGCTGCAGCTGCCGCTCGTTACATGAAGCCGCTGACCGCATAATAAAATAACAATTCATATAAAACTTATACAACACAGTGTAGAAGTAGGTGTTGACACTTTTATTGATATTTTCATTGAAATTGCAAAGAACAGCAGCTCAATGCAGCTGAGCGTTTCATTGTATCGCGTAAAATTATCGACCGCTCGCTGGCAGTTATGGATTCGTGGCGCCGGCTATGCATTCGCACACGGATCCATATCTGCCAGCGCTGCATACGTCATATGACGTTTCCGCGGTTGCGTGCGCCTTGCGCGAACGCGCGCAAGATTCTGCGCTCAGCGCTTCGGATCAACACCTTTCGGCAATGCTTCTCTAGTCTCATCTGGATGTTTTGGATATCCCGTCTACATTGAGGAACGGGTCGTATTATGCGCTCACTCCCGTTTACAAGTCTGTCTAAACTGCCGTTGTGGTAACCGTAGTATTTCAGCGTAATATGAGGGGAAAAAGTGCCTGTCGGGAGGACTGGCAGTTTCGTAGAGATGGTGGCCCGAGCAAAAACTTGGTGTGTTAGGCCTGCGGGTCGGAACTATTTTCAAACGCTGCGGCGGCAGGGGAGCGATTTTTTCTCGTTCTAACGCTTTGAAAGCTGACGGGAGCGAAATCGCTCGCCACTCCCGTGTATCTTTTTCGCTGCAGTCCAGACTCCAGGTGCGACAACACTTTTTCAGCCAGAGAGTGGTGCAACCCTGGAATAAACTGCCGTCGCAGCTACCACGACTAACGAATTTAAGGCCAGAATCGACCGATTCATGAAATCACCAGATATGGGTGCACATTAGGCTAGGCCTATTACTACCCATTATCCTAAAGCCCTGGTCACAACGAGCCCACGACGCATTTGTGCAACGACACGACAGAAAATTTGGGCAAATCGTGGGTCATCGGGCGTCGTCGCAAGACAGTCCTACGAAATTTTGAGCATCGTGGCATCGACTTGCCCAGCTCGGACTCGGGCTCGCACAACATTGCAAGTCTGTCGTGCGTTAGTCTTGCGAGTCTTGCAACATATTTTCGTTTTTTGAGGGGTATATAGCTCGGGCGAATGAACGCTTGGAATTAAAAACTGCCTGTCGGCGCTGAAAGAGGATGGCTATTCCACCTGAGCGACTACGCGTGGCCCTGCTGAGGGGGCGTCTGGAGGAACTCCAGCACGAGCATAATATAGTGCTGTTGGCGTTGATCCGGGCCCGGGAGCAGCGCAGGAACCGGTGAAACCCCCGACGTTGGTGGGTTCAGCCGTGGATTGAGCGGCGCCTGATGTTTGGGCAGTATAGTACTCTGATGCAAGAGTTAGAGCGGGAATCTGCCGGTGACTTCGTGGGGTTCATGCGGATGGAGTCTGGCATGTTTCACGAGCTGTTGCTGAGTGTCGCCCCTCGCATAACCAAGGGCCAACTGCTAGGCTTACCACCTTTCTCTTGTTTGTTTTCTTCTTGAGAGGCATCCTGTATACTAACTTTGATGAAATGAAGTGACAAATGTCAGAAATTTGGGCAGCACTTCGCTGTATTCACTGGAAAATCTCTGCAGCAAATGGCATGCAACAGACCGGGCCTTGTTATATAGTCGGGAGACGGACGCGCGAGTGACCCACGAGTGACTCACGAGTGACCCAAGAATGACCCACGACTGTTGTGCGCGAGTCGCACGACTGTAGCACGTGCATCCCACGAGTGAACCACGACCTGTTCACGTGAAAAACAGCCCCCCGACAATGCCCGACAACTCACGACTGACGCACGACTGACTTGCGACACACCCACGACATATCCTTTTTTTCTGTTGCGTCCCCATTGCCAAACCATCTTTGATGTGTCGTAGCCCTTGTGACCACTCAAAATACATTTCGGGCATGTTGCAAGATCTGGCCACGACAAATATTTTATGGGTCCACCACGACAAAATTTCGTACGATCCGTTGTGACCGCGGGGCTTTAACACATTGAGCGCCACAATTTTTCAAAACAGTAACGAGCCAGCGCCCACAATTTTTGGAGTTTTGACGAATTTCATTTTTTGGGGAAAAATGAACTAGTAAGGCTAGAGCATCCTTTTATATATGTTTCTAAAGCTGGTGATATGCCTGAACCAATAAAAGAAACCTTTTTGTGATATCTCTCTTTGTATTTTTTCACCAAGTATTTGAAAATGGCTTGATTTCACAAAAGATGCTAAATTTCAACAAAAAACTGAGAAAACGAACTTTTTAGATTGCACATATGGGCAATTCCACGGTAACGTAATTACAATTCAGATAAATTTTGGTCTTTGTTATACCTGCCATGGCTTAGTCCAACAGCTGAACTGATGAACCAAACCCTTATTAGTTCTGCTGATACCCCTGCTTTTTTGGAAAAAACACAGTTCAGAGAAATCCCTTACACGGGAGTGTGTGTGACTAAGAAAGTGTCGGTAACGGAATTACGACAGAAAATAGGGTCTTATTTTTACCTCAACTTTCAGAGGGAGTTTTCTGAAATCTATAATAGGAGGGCAACAGGTTTTCCATGAAATTTGTTTTCTCATGTGTGATGACTAGACTGGTGGCTATAATTTGGCTCATATATTCATGGATATCCTGCAGGCAGTGTTTTTCCAAAAAAGACCGGTAACAGAATTACGAAATGGTAACGGAATTACGCCTTCTGAAATTATCCTAAAATGAGCCACATTTTCAATATCAAGTTGGCTAAAATGAACATTGTGAACACTTCCTATGTTTCTGGCTTTACAATGAACCATAATACGTCACATAAATGTGCGATAAACAACCATAATTCATGATATTCCTGCTAAAAAAAACTACTTTAATTGAACAAGAACATGAATATTTCAAATTGTTGGCGACTACATGGAAGTAAGTCTTTGTCATATGATCAGTGGGTTGTTCTGGCTAGATAGGTTGTTTGCAGTACCTTCTTTGGGCTACCATTCTCTGTGTGATTTACATGGTAACGGAATTACTTTCACCTACTGCTTTATAAAGAAATTGTTAAAATCTTCAAATATTACATACAAAACAGATATTTTTGTTTAAATTCCACTTAGATTCACTCTGAGACCTTTCTATCTATCAGCAGAAGTTATTATAATCCACATTATGTATGATTCCACCTGTTGAGCCTGCCTAAAATGTTAAATATTGACGAACAAAGGAAAACTAGAAGAAAGTCAACAAACTTTAGTTTACAGTCCATGAAAGAAAGAAAGAAAGGTTGAGTATTCCAGTTATCAGAAAATGCATGAACAAGGACAATACAACAATACAACAAGTTTCAATACAA